TTTTAAATTTATGGTAATTCCAGTTACTGAACTCAACTAGAAAATATTTAACCTTTTTTGTTCTGAGAGATTCGTTCGACCTTTATTTCTACAGGTAAATCCCATTGAGCCTCGAGGACTCATTTACAAGAGAGACCTGATTTCAACAAAGAATGATGGCAACATGACAACAAGATTGACGTAATTTAGTTAAAGTTATAGATCATTTGTCAAAGACTGCAGCATAAATTGTGACATTATCATTAAAGAAAAATGTGATTGTGGAGATGAGTCAATGTTTTCATGTTTTCCAGGTAAACCAGAGGAGAATGACTTCGTGAACTGAATGTTGCATTCAAAGTATCACAAAGGTACAAGATCTCATTTTCTGTCTTCTATTAATCAATAACAGCTGAATCAAGATGTTTGAATAAAATTACTTTAACACCATAACCTTCACAAAGTTGGTATTTACTGCAGGACTGTTAAATTACATTAGTTTTATATTATTAGTTTAGTGTTTGGTAATCATGGGTCAAGTTGAGATGAGACTCTTTCAAGCCAGAACAAGAAATAAGAATTATTACAAGAATATATCAGCATCAATAAACTGTAGGACAGTAACAAAACACTTATTAAACTATCACAGGTACATTGAGATGGAGCTGGAAGTTCTTCTTCATGCCAGTTGTCTTCATCTGATCTTTTGTAAAAATATGTCAATTTATTTTCCATTAACATTTTTCTTCGCAGGACTGAGTTAATTTTCTTGTCTGAGTTTCTTCTGTCCTGCTTATGTATGTTTTGTGTTCTAATTGTTCCCTCAGGTTTTTCTTCTCTGTTCCCTGACTGCCTGTTGATCCATCCTCCTGGTCCTGTTGATCCATCCTCCTGGTCCTGTTGATCCTGCAGATCCTGACATGTCCCTGTCCTCTGAGGACACATTTTCATCTTTCCCTCATCTCACTCCCCTCATTTCTGTTTCTTCCTCAGTCTCTGAAATTACAACGTCGCTGTTAGAATGAAGATTATTGTTCAATAAAAAATATGGCATGTCTTATTTAACATTGTTCGTACCAAAGTTTAATTTAGAACAACGTGTGATCACTGGTCAGATCACTGGTCAGATCACTGGTCAGTGGAAGTTCTGCTGTTCTTCTCATTTGGTTCTGGTCCATGAACAAATGGTTGAACCTCCTTCGGTCTCACACGTCCTCACTGTGTCTCTGTGAACTGTCCTCTCTCTAAATGTGCCTGTAGAGTGACAGTAGTTTATTTTCTTGTACATTTCTTTGACAGTTAAACATTTTGAGCCCTGATTGAAAATGTTTGTGCAGATTAAATTTACAGCTCTCATTTTGTGTTGTTGTGATGATGATGATGGTGCTCCTGCTGACTTCAGATGATGTCATTAATAAACAGTATAAATAGTAGTAAAAGTATCCTGATGCATGCTCAATAGAGGATTTACTACTCAGGAGTAGTAAAAGTACTTTATTAAAGCTTGCTTTACATTTTACATATTTTATAATAAATTGTTTGGAAATTTATTTTTGCACAGTTAACACTTATTTTGTCCTCTGTTATGATTTTAACTACAATCAGTTTTATTTAAATTAACATTTTAATCAATGAATTACAATTTTACAATAGTTGTCAGGCTACAATCAACTCAGTTATCAGGTACTTGGTTGCCATAAAAAAACGACAAATACAACAATTATATTCAGGTCTCTGTTGTAAATGAGTCCGCGTGACTCAATGGGACGAACCTGTTTAAATAAAGGTTGAATTAATATCTTCTATAGAAATGAACAATTCATCCAGATGATCTGAGGTAAGATGGAGCAGATCTGAACTGCATGGAGGACAAGGTGGAGCATTCTCATGCAGAGAACATCAGAAACAGCTTTATAACAGGAGTTACTCTGATCTTTTTTTTTAATGTGTGTAACGTTATAAAACACTGACATGGCTATATTGATCATTATATTGCATACATTTTTTTTTCTAACAAATATGTGTTTGCAGTCTCGTTTCCTTCTAAAATTTGATGATAAATGTATCAACCGCCTCTAAAAATGCTTTGATAAAATGCATAGTCTGTGAAATAATCAGTAATCAGTTTGAGCTGATATGTTAGATGATATGTTAAGTAACATATCATCTAACATATCATTTAACATATGCACCTAACATATCACCTTAAAAATACACAGCACGCTACATACACACTTTACATAGACACATAAACATATTTTTTTACATATTTTTTCAAGTAGGTATCTCTGCAGACAAATTCGGAACGCATGAACATATTTTTGGCACTAATGGAGAACCCCACACTTTATAAAGCAAATTCCAGCTAACCAAAGAGCGCTGCATGAGTTTCTGATGACTTCGTAAATAGTGAGTGGCCATTTTGTCCGTTTAGATTAGAATAAAGTAGAACTTGTTTATCAATGCTCTTATATTTACAAAAACGGGACAAATACGTAATAAATGCATGGACAAATTTATTTTAACCGTTTTACATACTCGACGGTTAGGGTTTAGCTAAGCGGTAAAAGTTAAAGTAGCATGTGTAAAGACATTTATTGATAAAGAAATATTCACAATCTTGTAAAAATGTAACGAATTGTGTGAACAGTAAAGCAAGGTTGTTTTTATTGCAAGTAAAATATCAACTATGTACCACCAGCCTTAAAAAACAACATGTAGCTACAAATATTTAACGATGCCTTTCACAATACAGTACAGTATTCTGATGCATGCTCAATAATCCAGGTAGAAAAATCTAAAACAGTTAAATCTGGTCCTCTGGACATTCAAAAAAACCCAAAACAAAGCAAATCAACAAAAAAAATGTAGAAACGTTTCGTCTCTCATCCGAGAGACTTCCTCAGTCTGAGGTGCTGTATTCAGCTCAGTCTCTTAAATAGCACCGTCTCAGGGTGGATCAACCAGTTTTGCTGCTGACAACCAAAACCAACTGATCACATGCTCAAGAAGGACCATCAGCCTAACAATGGATCATTAGCACACTGATGGCTGTTTACTATTCACAGAGGGCTGAGTGATACTAGCAATCACAGCATTGTAAGAGGGGGACAGTTGAACCCGGAGGCCTCCACCCCTGTTTAATGATGGACGATTTCTTTTCACAAAGATGGCCTCCTTTACTCCTCTCTCAAACCATCGTTCCTCTCTGTCCAGGATGTGAACATCTTCATCCCTGAAAGAGTGACCGCTGGCCTGGAGATGAGTGTAGACCGCAGAGTCCTGGCCTGATGATGTTGATCTTCTGTGCTGGTCCATCCTTTTGGCCAGTGGCTGTTTAGTTTCCCCGATGTAAGACTGATCACCCTCCTGACACTGAACAGCATACACAACATTACTCTGTTTGTGCCGGGGGACTGGATCTTTGGGATGAACCAGTCTTTGCCGTAATGTATTTTGGGGTTTAAAAGCCACTGGGACGTTATGTTTAGAAAATAAACGTCTCAGTTTCTCTGATACTCCCTCAACATATGGAATGACCACTGGTCTGGGTCCAATAAAATAGAATATTTGAAAGGAAGGAGACATAAATATTAAATTTTAGAGGGTAAATAGAGGAAAAAAGTTTTAAGAATTTTCCTTTCAGTTGAGTATATTAGTGTTTTTTATATATTTATTCCTGCTGACTGAGACAGCTCATCAATAACGTACCACAACTAATAAAAATGTAGTTTAAATATTTATCCATCCTTCAAAACACACACAAATCGTTGTCAGCATTAATTACAGTGTCTTGTAATAGTATCCGTCCATCTTGATATTCTCTCCGTTTGCCTTACAACTTGGAATTTAATTCAAAATTGTATTTGATTAAAAGCAATAATTAAAAAAAATACATTGGATTAATTAAGTGAAACATATTGTTTTAACTCCTCCCTGGGCTGCCACCTTACCGTGGTGGAGGGGTTTGAGTGTCCCAATGATCCTAGGAGCTATGCTGTCAGGAGCTTCATGCCCCAGGGTCACCCAAGGCAGACAGGTCATAAGTGCCCCTCAATAGGTGTCCCCATTGAGTTTGTCGATTCCTACAAATATTTGGGTATCTTGGTCGACTCGCATCTCCCTCTTAAACTTCACGTGGAAAACCTAGTAGGAAACTGAAAGTTAAACTGGGTTTCTTTTTCAGAAATACTGTAGATCCTGGTTAACTCTGAACGCCAGGAAACACCTTGTAACTGCAACTTTCCTTCCCTCCATTGACTATGGTGATATTATTTACATGAACGCTCCTACAAGCACCCTGCAGATGTTGGATGCTGCCTATCATGGTGCGCCAAGTTTCATAACTGGCTGTAACTATCGTACCCACCATTGCACCCTGTGTGGTTAACTGGACATCATTAACTTCACACAGACTCTCTCACTGGTACATTTTCATCTTTAAATCACTCCTTGGTCTGCTGCCTTCATACATCTCCTCCTACATGTCTCTGCGTGAGTGCAGCTACAGCGTGCGCTTTCAGGACAAGATTACATGCAGTGTTCCCTCAGTGAGAACTGAACTAGGCAAAAGGGCCTTCTCCTACTCCGCTCTTGTTTCCTGGAATATCTTGCAAAAAGGTTTGAAGCTCTCGACCTTGACCTCTCTACGTGGCTTCAAACATCTAGGTTCCTAGCAAAAATCAATGCAGACAAGTTCCTGTATATCTAGATGTTTTTTCGTTACTTTTCCTTTTAATTGTCCTTTTAATTACCATTTTATTTTCATTTGTTAAAAAAAATTAAATTTGTACGCATTCTTTATGATCATCTATTGTTGTCGTTGTTGTCCACTGTAGTCATCACTCTTTGTTATGATTCAGGTTTCTCTTGTAAATGAGTCCCCGAGGCTCAATGGGACTAACCTGTATAAATAAAGGTTGATTGAATGAAAAAGGTGAGGGACCAGACAAAGTGCAACCGAAAGACCCCTTATAATGAGAAAAATAAATGGAAGCACTGTTCCCTCGCCCGGACATGGGTCACCGGGGTCCCACTCTGGAGCTGGGCCTGAAGATGGGGCACGCTGGTGAGTGCCTGGTGGCCAGGCTCTCACCCATGGAGCCCGGCCGGGCACAGTCCAAAGCGGAGACGTGGGTCCCCCTTCCCATGGGCTCACCACCTGTGGGAGAGGCCAAAGGGGGTCGGGTGAAATGTGGGATGGGTGGTGGTCGAAGGCAAGGACTTTGGAGGTCTGATCCTCAGTTACAGAAGCTGGCTTATGGGACAGACATGGAATGCCACCTCTCTGGTGGGAAGGAGCCTGATTTGGTGTATGAGGTTCTGGTTAGAAATACTAGGACTCATCTCGACGCACAACTCTGGTTCTGGAACCAGTTTCCTTGAGAGAGGTTGGACACTCTTCCCCTCTGAAATTGCCCCTGGTGAGAGGAGCTGAGCAGGAGTGGGCATACTTGTTGCCCCCCATCTTGGTGCCTGTGCATTGGGGTTCACCCCGGTGAATGAGAGGAGGTCCTGCCCCAAGTGGAGGAGTTTAAGTAATTGGAGTCTTGTTCACGATTGAGGGAAAAATGGAGCGAGAGATCAATACGTGGGTAGGTGCTGCATTTGCAGTGAAGCGGGCGGTGTATCGGTCTGTTGTGGTGAAGAGAGAGCTGAGTCAAAAGGCAAAGTTTTCAATTTACCGGTCGATCTACGTTCCTACCCTCATCTATGGTCATGAGCTTTGGGTTGTGACCGAAAGAACAAGATCACAGATCTAAGCGACCAAAATAAGTTTTCTCCGCAGGGACTCTCCCTTAGAGATGGGGTGAGAAGCTCGGTCATCCGGGAGGGACTCGGAGTAGAGCTGCTGCTTCACCACGTCGGGAGGAGCCAGTTGAGGTGGCTTGGGCATCTAGTTAAGATGCCTCCTGGACGTCTCCCTGGTTACGTACTCTGGACACGTTCCACTGGGAGGAGACCCAGAGGAAGACCCAGGACACACTGAAGGGACTATGTTTCTCAGCTGGCCTGGGAACGCCTTGGGATTCCTCCAGAGGAGCTGGCCCAGGTGGCTGGGGAGAGGGAAGTCTGGGTCTCCATATTTAGACTACTACTCTGTGACCTGACCCTGGATAAGCGGAAGAAAATGGATGGCTGGATGGATGAATATTGTTTTCAGTGATTCTAAAAAACAAACGAACAGATAGTCTTTAACAGTCAAAGCTACAGACAAATGAGAGCAGGGAGAGGAGCGTTGGCATACCTCACATACACTCCATACATCCCCAGTTCATTGACACAGCTGCTGATTTCCAGGGGAGCATCTCGCCGCAGTAAGTAGTTCTGTACGGAAGCAGGAAAGATTTTATCCATCAGGATGTAGGCTGCTCGCTCCGAGCTTCCCTTCACTCGGTTCAGCACCTGGAAGAGCTCTGACCCGTACAGGTTGTTTCCTACAATGTTAAGATATTAAGGAAGTGAGGACGAGCCTTTACAGGCAATGGGTTACTTTTGCAAATGCACTAAACCACGATCCGATCAAAGCAGCAGAATATTTGTGAGTCAAGCTTCTTCTTGTACCTCCTCCTTCTCGTTGAGGTTTCAGAACAAACTGGTCTGGTTCTGCCAAAGCCATCGCTACTGATTTATCACCATCTGGTCCCTGAAGGTAACAACCAAAATAACAAAAGTCCATAATGAATCTCTTTAATGTTGAATTTCTGACAGTTTCTCACCATGTCCAGAGTGTAGAGGCCAACGAACGTCGCCCTGAGCTGCTCCACGACCTGAGGCTGGTCTGGGAAGAATTTCTCCAGAACTCCAGGTTTGGCCAGAACCTGCTGGACCTTCTTGGTTCCCACCAGGTGAGTGTGGATATCAGGACACTTCGCAGCCAGAGAGCGCTCCATCATAAGACGAGCGTCCCAGCACTACAGTTTACAAACAAATATATTTCTGCACCTTTTTGCATCATAGATTGCATACTTTAAATTCATTTTCTGTCCATACATTCTGTACATGCATACTTTTCAAATATATTCTGTTCATTTAAAAATCTATACGGTTTAAATGTTGTCCCTAGTTTATTCAGTTCATGACTTCAGACACAAGCACTGCATGCTTTTTTCAGTGAGCAAATGACCCTCAGAGCAGAAGCAGTTTGTTTTACTTTAAATGGGGGGCGAAATAAAAGACCAAAAAGGTTAGGACCAATTTAGAGTTATTGTGAGGATTGTGTTCCTTTGGGTTTGTCTCCCTCGTGGTTTGTTCTTGCTCTCCTGTGTCTCCCTCACGTAATCAGTTCTTACCTTCACCACCTGTTGCCCTTCCCAGGTGTCATTTGGCTGTCATTAACATTCCTATTTAAGTCTGCATCTCTGTGTTCCTTGTTGTCTGGGCATTTTCCTGTCTACCTCATGTTCTGTCTTCCCTCCATGTCCCCAGCATCAAGTAAGTTTGCTGCCTTGTCAGCTTTTTGTTTTTCCAAGTCTTCGTGGTCTGCCTGCACTTGGGTTCAACATCCAATTCACCAGAATGCGAAAGAATCCAGCAGGCTGCCCAATCCTGGCTGCGCCGCTCCATAAGATGAGCAGCACCTCCGTAGCGTGACGCGCAGCTTCGTGGCCACTGTAGCCACCTCCAGTGACCCATTGGCTAGGTGGGTTGCCACAAAAAAAAAAAAAAATTTTGGACGAGTTTTAGCAGCTGCCTGGATTGGTGGATTCCCCTGGAATTTCCGCCACGGTAAACGCGGTGGACGCCTGATGAGGCTGAAAGCCTTTTTGTCACGATGCAATGGTTCCCAGCCAGTTCCTGGGGTGTTTCCTGAGGTGTTTTTGCCTTGGTGTTTTCTGGAGCCGGTGGATGCTTGCCTGGTTTGTGTTGTTGGTGCGGATGTCCCCCGGCGTCAGCGCCCCTGCCCACCCCGGCTCAGCAAGGGGCGGAGCGAACCCACTGAACCTGAGAAAGCTAAGTCGGACCCTCCCTCAGCACAACAACCCCGCTCCAGCTCCAGCCAGGATCAGCTTGGTGAACACCAGATTGCTGGTCAATAAAACTTCCATCCTGTGGGATTTCTTCAGCTCACGTAATCTGGACTGCCTACAGAGAATTGGCTGAGTGAGGCTGAGTCAGCTGCTCTGTCGGAGCTTTTACCAACGAGCTGCTCTTACTTTAACTCTCCACGATCATTGGGCCGGGGAGGAGGAACTGCAGCCGTGTATAAAGATGTTTTTAGTTGTAAACAGTGTTTCACCAGCTTTGAGCTGACCACCTTTGAAGTGGGTCGTTCTGACCCGACACTCTGCTGTCATCTACTGCGCACCCAAATATAATAAGGATTTTATTAGTGACTTTTCAGACTTTCTTTCTGAAATAGTGACTGGATATGATCATCTCCTTATTATTGGTGATTTTAAAATCCACATTTGTTGCCCAGACAAACCTGTGGTAAAAGGATTTTTAATTCGTATCGACTCTTAATTTGGTGCATTCTGTGTCTGGACCTACACACAATAAAGGTCACACTCTATATCTTGTGCTCTCTTTGGGATTACCTGTGTCTAATCTGGAAATTCATGACTCTATAATCTCTGATCATATGCCTATAACATTCTCACATATGCTTCTGTTAAAACTCACACTCCTGCTCAGAGCTCTCGGATTATTAACCCCTCCAATGCTGGCCAGTTCACTGAGGTTTTCTGCCAGCTCTGTCCACCTGCCTCAACTGATGCTGAGGATCTGAGTTCTTGACTCCACTCATCCTGTCTGACTGTGTTGGATACCGTGGCTCCTTTAAAGACCAAACAGCCTGGATTTAAACGTGAACCATGGCTTCAGAACAGCACGGATCGAGCTGTCAGACAGGAATGTCGCAGAACAGAACGCAGGTGGAGAAAGGACAAGCTGCAGGCGTCCCTTCAATTTTTTAAAGACTGTTGGCGCAGTTACTAGGACACAGTTAAAGCAGCCAAAAAGGACTATTTTTCCACGTGTTCTTTTTAGTATGACTGTTTTCTTAACTCTCCACAGACTGCTGGTTTTGAAGCATCTACTCAGTTGTGCAATAATTTATGCAGTTTTTTATTAAGGTTACCTCTATAAGGGCTTCCATCTTATGCACAAACTCTAACCCCTCTGTGTGTGTTCCCTGCTCTGCTGCTTTCAGTCAGTTTGAGCTGGTGACTGTGTCATTTTTAGAGGACATGGTTGCTCAGATTAAGCCTTCTGGTTCTCCATGTGGTGATCTTCCACCACGCTTTCTTAAAGAGGTTTTCCCTTGTTTTAAACACTTGGTTCTTGTCCTTTTTAACAGTAGTTTGTTATCTGGAGTAGTCCCTGCTAATTTTAAACATGATGTTGTGCAGCCCCTGATAAAGAAATCTGGTCTTGATTCCACTGTGTTGGGGAATTTTAGGCCCATCTATCTCCAAGCTTCCCCTCCTGTCAAAAATCTTGGAGAAAATTGTTTATGCTCAGTTAAAATCCTTCCTGGATGAACATAACATCATGGATGTTTTCCAGTCTGGATTTAAAACTCTCCACAGCACAGTCAGCTCTGCTGAGTTTTTTAACGACATCCTCCTGGCATGTGACTTGGGTGATCATGTGATCCTTGTTTTACTGGACTTAACTGCTGCGTTTGACACAGTGGACCACAGCATTTTATTGTCATGTCTTCAGCACCAAGTAGGCATTGGTGGGACTGCTCTGGAGTGGTTGGGGTCCTATCTGGCAGACAGAACATTTTGTGTAAAAATTGCTGGGTATGAATCCTTTTCTGCTCCTGTGTCATGTGGGGTACCTCAGGGATCAATTTTAGGGCCTTTGCTTTTTTCTTTATATCTGTTTCCTCTAGGATCGATTTTTAGAAAACACGGCATCTCCTTTCACTGTTACGCTAATGATTGCTAAATCTATGTGCCTTTCGGCAAGTTGATCCCTGTTCCATTAAACCTCTTTTATCGTGTCTCGAGGATCTTAAAGTTTGGATGGCCCAAAACTTCCTGCATTTTAATGAAAAAAAGACAAAGGTACTTGTTTATGGACCTAGTGGAGCTTGTTCGAGCCCTCCAGTCGATTTAACCCCCCTGACGATGTACCTAAAGTCTAGAGTTACAAATCTTGGTTTTAAGATGGACAGTGATTTTAAACTTGACAGTCAAATAAGGGCCACAATAAAGTCTGGTTTTTATCATCTGAGAAAATTGGCAAAAGTAAAATCTATTCTTTCAAGGCAACAGTTTGAAACGGTAATCCATGCCTTCATTTCATCAAGGCTGGATTACTGTAATTCTCTCTATCTCGGAGTCAGCCAGTCCTCACTTGCACGTCTGCAGCTGGTGCAAAATGCTGTTGCACGTTTCTTAACTGGAACACGTAAAAGAGAGCACATCACACCTGTCCTGGCTTCTCTCCACTGGCTGCCCGTGTATTTTAGAGTTCATTTTAAAATTCTTTTGTTTGTTTTTAAGGTTTTAAACAGCCTTGCCCCCCCCCCCCCCCCCCCCTTTATTTAACAGAGCTTCTACACCATTACATTCCACATCAGTCACTCAGGTCTGCTGATCGGCTGCTTCTGGTCATTCCCAAGAGTAAGAGGGAGCTTCGAGGAGACAGGGCCTTCTCTGTTAGTGCCTCTAAGTTATGGAAAGCTCTGCCTTTGCACACTTGACAGGCCCCCTCACTGTCCATTTTTAAAACCCATCTGAAAACTCATCTCTACTCATTGGACTTCAACCCAACTGAGATTTGATTTTACTTCATTTTTATTGGTATTGATTTTATCTGTTTAACTCGTCCTTTTGTTGTGTTTTAAATTGAGTTTTTAGTTCATTGCTTGGCTTTGTAGCTTTGTTTTTATGCTCGCTTTTCTTGTTTTTAACTGATGTTCAGCACTTTGTTTCAGCTGTGGCTGTGTTAAAGCGCTTTATAAATAAAAGTTGATGATGATGATGATGATGATGATGATGATTATGATGAATCAGCTATTCAATTAAAATTTGATCAGTAGTTTATTAGGCAGTAGTTTTTAGTTACTTAATCCTCATTCATTTTGTATTTTAAGACGATTAGCTAAATCATTAACAATTACTCATTTAGTAACATCCAAACATTAATCAATAATTAGATATTTATGGGTAACTATGCACATTGTAGTCCCTTATTGTAAAGACAACTTGTGGACAGTTTTAATTACGCATGACCTATTTGATCACTCACACACGTGTCTGCTGCCTACAAAGATTATCAGGGTGTTGAAATATATTTTTATCTTACTTGGATGTGTGACTGTTTGTATTTTATACCTTGCATTTTTATGTCATAACTGTATGTGTTGAGACAAGGCAGAGTTTCTGTTTCGAAGTTTTGTTTCAGGTAGGAAGAAATTCTTAGTCGCACGCCTGTCTTTCTCACAACAGACAAAACACCAGGGTTCGAAACATTTTTTACAACATTAAGTTTGTGTCAGAGAGCTGGTCACATGATGGACAACAGGGATTTCCCATAGTTTGTTGATGACAGCCACTTCCTGGAGGTGTGGCCAGTTGAAGAAAATGTGTGTTTGTTACCTGGAGTTCTGCGCCATTTTAAGAGATGCAGCCTCCTAGTGTCCAGCGCTGTATTGAATTTTGTGTTTTACATGTGTCTAAAATAAACCTTTTTAAATTGAGCAATTTGCTTTTCCGGAGTCTGCTTCAGATCATTTGGAGAACACATTTTAACAGTTTAACAGTTGAATTTAGCTAACTCTTTCACTTGTTTGCACCTGTTAATGGGTAAACTCGGCAATTAGAACAAAAAACTAAAAAGAGTTCAAACCTGTTCAGAAATGTAATTCTGGGGCATGAAACCATGCCTGAAGTAGACCACTGCGACCTCAGTGCCATCGCTGAAATAAGAATAAATGTACATTTACATGTACATTTAGTATTAATGGCAACATTAATTCAAAAAGAACATTAACAATTTATGTAAAAATGACAGAAAGAGACCTACACAAATAGCCTCTTGTCCTGATCAAGGGATCCAGTTTTTGCAACATCACCAAACCGTTTTCTTAGTGTTGGAATGTCTCTAAAAAACAGGATGCAAATATATAAAAACAGATATTACACCGCTCACAGTAACAATTACTCAACCAGACACTGCTCATGGGTTTTGCACAAAAGAAAATCATACAAAGAGATAAAAGTGTCCATTTGTTCAGAGACAGAGTGGAAACAAAAGCCGGAACGACTATGATTTATAAAGCAGATATATTATTCTTTTACATTAATAAATCATCCAAACTAACTCTTACCTTTTCCAAAGTTCGCTCTCAATGAAGCGCTGATCAAAAATATTCGTCTGGACCTCCTCCACCAAGAACAAGACAGCCGCTCTGAAATGACAGCCATCAAATAAATCTGAACATCAGTGAAGTCGTGGCAGAAACTGGAGATGATGAACCAGAAAGTGTCCTCATGGCAAAATGGGCCCCCGGCAAATATAATCACTAAAAGATTTAAACTC